GATGAGAAACCTCGCAGATAATGGTCAATAGCTCCATACCTGGTTCTACCAGGAACGCAACCTTCGCTCCGTCTAGACACCTTCCTGCCAATCTCCACACAACCAACTCTACTTCTCGGACCAGCCTTGCCTCGACTGCTGAATGTACTCGAACCTCGGAGACTACGCAGTCTCAGCCAACGACAGTTGGCCCGATAAAGAGCAGGCCGTGTCATCCCGCTTACATCTGAGACATTTTTTTCCAACGGGGAGCACAATGAATGGAGTGGTCACAAAACCCATGCCTGCGTTCGCCGTTAGCGACTACCCCTTCCTCCCATCACTTCTCCTTACCAAAACTCCGCTCCTGGACTTGCCCAACGTCTGGTCAAACTCCACCCTCGTGCAATGACTGCCCTTTACGCACTAACGACAGCATTATTAACATGCCATCCTACCGCAAACTTGAATATGTATTCGGAGCGCAGGTCTCGTTCACGAAGTCTGCGTTCACTTTAATACTGACCATGAAAGTTCTCCATCACGCAAAGCACGACCGCGATTTGGGCCGCGCTGACGTACAAGGGTGTGCGGATGACGCAAGGTGTGTCTGTGTGTCGTAGCCCTTTAGGGAAATTGGTGTAGCAGACCTTGGCCGCCGTGAAGCGGGTGGGAATACGACAAAGACGCGTCTGCCGTGGTTCCCTCTGTTATGCTCTCTTGGGGTGGGCTAACTGTACCAATTTAGTGAGCTTTCTTAGTTGGCCTGCGCAAGGGTCGAGACGGAAAAAACAGTGTGTAGAAGTCGGTGAAAATAAACTAGTTTTTTGTAAGCGACGAAGGCATGAATACAAAGTTTGATAAAGCAAATACGGTGGCATATGGAGGGGTGGACGATGGCGGACCAAGTAAATGCGCTCGGGCTTTTGTTCATGCATCGTGTGAATTTCCGAACAGAAAAACCGATGCAAGAGCGTATCCGCGTAGGTACACGGCAACACTCAAGAGCACAGAAGAGACGAAATGCACACCAAGAGTCAGTTTGCAGAGGCATGGAAAGGTATGTGGGTAAAATACGTATGAAGAGATCGGAACGTAATACATACACGATCATAAAAACTGTTGTTATTAAAAAGTCTTATTAACAGAATAACTGTAGTAAAGTCAAATATCACTGTCTGCCTGTGAAGTATCCACTACTTATTGTACAAGTGAGACATTTGTCAGCGAGAAAGGGATGGTGTGTGTGTTTGAGAATCAACAAAAGTTGATTGATAAAAGTGCATCCTAATTACATTTTGGCAGAGCCAGTGTTAAACTCCTGTGAAAAATAGTTAACATTCAACCTAATTAATAATGCTAGTGAAGAGTCGTTGAGTAAGTCATTCCGTTGGTATTGTCGACCATTCTTGACAGCCGAGGCTGAGGTGATATTGCACAGAAAAAACAGGAGCTAACGGATACTGATAAGAGCACCGGGGAAAAAATTAAGAAACAAATGTCAAGAAAATCACTCAGGCGGTTCCGTGGAATCCATGCGTTCGATCTCGGCACCGCTGACAAAGGCCACAGAAAATGAGTTCAGAGGAGGGCGAACTGTCCCTTCCGGCCGGCCAGCCGCATGTGAAGTTTGAATCCCTCCTTCTTTTTCAGCCTCCGCCTCCCCTTCTGCCTCATCCTCGTCTTCTTCTTCCTCCTCCTCCTCTTCTCCTCTCTGTTCACCATCACTGAGGGGACCTTCAACTCCCTGTTGCCCCGCTGGTTCATTTTCTTCGCCGCTCTCCTCATTGTCGTCCTCCTCTTCTTCTCCTTCTTCCCCCTCCTCCTCTTCTTCGTCCTCTTCATCATCATCTCCAGCAGTCGTAGCATCCATTGCCTCCTCGTGGCCGTCAACGGAAGTAGGGCCCTGCGGTGTCGCCTGCAATGTCTGATGTTCAGTCTCGCCACCTAACTCCGCAGTGGCTGTTTCAAACATCCTGCCCCGCTTTGGGGCTTCCACAGGCTGGCCTTCCTTATACTTTCGCATGTCCTATAATAGAAAGGAGTTTTTTTTCCCAAAAAGCTAACATGCGACAGGGACATAAGGGAAGAATGCATTCTTTAGGGACTGCCTGCATGAATTGGTAGAGGTTCATGGCAACCTAACGTTGGTTTTGGAATCCTGCGCAAATATGTCTCGATAACGCACTCTGTGAATATAGAAACAAAAGTGGCGCATTTCGCACTCTTTTATTAAGACCATCAGTACGGGATAAAGAACGCAGTAGCTACTCGAATAGGCATCGGGTTTCTAATTTGTACTGCGGAATGACAATAGCTGAGAAGACGCAAGATGAACGGACAAGAAACCACATTTGAGTGTCTTTCGTTGTTGTCACTCGAGGAATTGAAAACTGTTGCTGACGTATTCGCCAGCTACAGTTATTAACTAAATAAAGGCTGATACACAGTCAAGTCAAGTTTATTGAAGGAAATATAGGCAAACGCCTTTGAACTCCCTTCTTTTCACATAGTCCTTAAGAAATGCATCAGCACAGCCGAACATTCTAAAGAAGTCGTTGACACAATTTTAGGCGACTACTCGCTTGTTTCAAGTAATACACTCACACTCAGTTAACACCAGCCAGCAGTGTAACTGAGGAAGAAGAGCAGACATGCGTCTTAACCCGATAACTTACAAAACCCTATGGAAAAAGGCGAAATAAGAAAGTATACCGGGTGAATACGTATTTATAATCTGAGCACGGGGACAGTAGGTTGAAAGAGCAACAAATAGCAAATCGAAATTTCTAAAAAAAAAGACCAGCTGAACAGTTCAACAGAAAGACACTAACCTCCTCGTAGCGTAATTTGTCGTTCTGCGCTCGGAGCTCATAGCTGCTTTTGTCGGTGCATCCCTCCCATCGTTTTCCCAACTCCTTGGCGATTTCACTAACTTTCCAGTCAGGGTGGGCCTCACGAATTTTCGGTCTGTACTCGTCACAGAAAAAGAAGAAAGCCGACCAGGAGCGCTTTGGCATGCCTGGATCTTTGGTTCGTTTCCGTTTCATGCCACGTTGGTGGTGTTGATGGGGATGGTGGGGATGCGAAAGGGATCCACCACCACCACCGGACTGTATGTACTCTCCCATCTCGTGATTGTACCGCTTGACGTCCAGCCGACACATTTCATCAAAGGGGTCCCTCTCTTCTGGGGACATTTGCTGAAGGAGTCAGGTTACTATACTGGCAGAAGAGCATACCCGCCACTTTTCTGCACACTTTTTGGCAAATTCGCTAAAAATAATATTGTCATTGGGATGCTGTGAACGGTATTTCTCGCGAATGACCTGAACAAAGCAGGCGAATGCGCTCATGGGACTTCGGGGTCGGTTCTTATCCTTACATTTCATCTGCAAGGAAGAGAAGGAGAAAACAAATAATTTGACGCACAGTTCAGCAAAGTAATATTCAGCATCACATGCGTTGACCTCGTCAAAATGTTATTTTCATTCATATTAAAGGTGAAAAATAAGGACTTGAAATTTTCCAGTATTCGCATTCGTACCGTTCTGTCTAGCCCTTTACGT